GTTTGAACACACTGGCTGTAAGTAAATGCATCCTCGTGATGAGGATGACTACAATCCCAGCAGGGGTGCCGAGGCTGAGGAACCAGAACTCAGCTGGGGTTGGGGTGGAAATCTGTGAACACTTAGGACCTGAGGAGGGTGGAATCAAAGAGCCCTAGAAGGCTTGGTTTCTCCTAATCTCCACCCCCCAACCCCCAGGACCAGAATCTACCTTTTCACCCTTCAAGGTCCAGTTTCAGGACTTTTCCTTTATAAAGCCTCTCATGGCCTGCTCAGGGTTTCCTCCTCCCAAATCTGAACCCTTCCAGGTAGTGCAAAAACTTGAAACTTACAAGGGGTGACCTATGACATTGCCTGTCTTATTATTACCTGTGTATGTGTGTGTGCACGCACACAATAGTAACACGCACACATAAATATATATGTGTTACATGTATACACATATACACATATAACAAGCAAACCAAACAGACCTCACCTGCCTCTCCAGAGTGACAGAAGATTCAAGGCTGTCAGTGAAACAAACCAAACAGTCTCTCCCCATAATAGTATGGACAGGATATCAGCTGAGTCTGACCGGCAGGAAGGGTGTATACATATATACACATACACATATATACAACACACACACACATATATGCCATACATGTGAAATACACATATATATGTGGACAGAGGTGCCTGGCAAGCTACATATGAAATGCATGGGGTCGCAAAAGAGTCGGACATGACTTAGTGACTAAATAGCAACAACAATAATTATATATATATATTCCATCTCTATAGCTGAATAACTACTCTTTGCAGGCAAAAGCTGAGTTCTGAATTTGCCTCTATGCCCTCAAGAGAGCTTAGCATGGTGCTGAGTACTTCATAAACATTCAGTAAATATTTCTTGACGCTGAACAAATCCCAAGAAATTAGTAGAGTTCTCTCTAAAAGGCATGTTGTGTGAAACAATGATGGGATCAGACTCATTGGTGAACATCTTTTGACTACCTGCGGTACAGATACATAACCAATCCGGGTCATCACTCATTAGCTAATTGTGTATCGTGGCCAAAAAGAGCACGGGACTGGAGGCCAGGTGATGTAAGTCTCACCCCACTTTGGTGAGCAGATCAGGGTAGTGCCTTGGGCAAGCCTCTTGCCTCCTCTGAGCCTTAAGATCCTCAAAAAAAAAAAAGAATTGGGCTAGATGGCTGTAAGCCTCCTTCCAGCCCCCAAATGATGTGATTCTGCAACTCTATCTTACAAACGCATGCACTTCTTATTTGTGACATAAACCCCACAGAAAAACAAAGTCGGTGATAAATTATGAAAAAATCGGGTGCCGTGATCACTTGCACTCTCTAAGGATGCTCAATTCAGTAAATCCCACTCCTGTACCTCGCCCGCTTCTCCAGGGCGACAGAAGATTCAAGGCTGTCAGCGAAGCAAACCAAACAGTCTCTCCCCATAATTGTATTGACAGGATATCAGCTGAGTTCGGCTGGCAGGAAGGGTGAACCCTGACAGGTTCTGTGAAGGAGCCTTGAAGGCTATTGGAGCAGGATCCTATGTTGAGTCACAGAGTTCTGGCGGAATGAGAATCACGCAGGGAGAAGCTGGTTTCTTCTCTATTTAATTTTATTCTTCCCAGAGAATCACATTTGAAGGAAAACTGGCTCACGTCACTTTATACAATAGAATAGGGGCCCTTTCTAGTGGAAAATATTTACATCTTCTTGGGGGCCACATGAAAACACGGGGTTGATTCAAACCAGCCCCACTCAATAGCCGGTTGGCTTGGTTTTAAATGAGGCAAACAGTTGCTGAGCATTTGCTGATAAAATATCTGCTTGGATGTCTGAGGTTTTCACTTTTCACTTGGTTACGGTGGCATCTTGCAGACACGTTCTTGAATAACTGATGTGTGTACGTCCCGGTAAATTCCAAGGGTGTGAAACAGCACTGTTGTGTTTGTTCAAGGCAGTGTGTCTGCATTTTAAATGAAAAAAAGCCCTGATCGTATTCACTGGAGAAAACAATCTGAGCAACAACCCCCCCAATTTCGGGGAGTAAATGACTATAGCTATGGTGCTACATTCTCCCAATATAGACACAGCCTTCAGGTTCAGAGCGAGACAAAACCCAAATATATCTCAGTTCCAATCATCCTCCCGCAGACAGCCCGGGCAGAGGGCACTCCCGCCTCTGCTGCACACAATGAGAAAGCGCACAGAAAGGAGGGTCTGAAAATCTGGGCTCGTGAAACTGACATGCCACAGTGAAGAAATCCACAAGCCATGCCTCGACAGAAAGTTCAGCAATGTATTATTTTTGAAAAGATTTTTTTTTTTTAAGGCTCCACCACCATCTTGGACACTTTCCATCTCCTCCTTTCCTTGAGAGCTGAAACCCTCCCTCCCCCAGTTTTTTCAGAATTTAAATTGTCTTTAAGATAGAGGAAGCTGTTTGGAGTTTGACGTGGTAAGGGGACAGCTGCGCTGGGAGCCAGTGCAGGTCTCTCCTCCCCTGAGTCCCGCAGACCCGTGCACAAAGGCCCCGCACACAGCCTCAGCGTGCCCCGGGTAAGCGGAGGCCTGGAGAAGCTACCGCCAGGGGGACGCCTCGCAACGTGTTTCTGCAGCTCTGACTTAGGTCGGGTTTTGGTAGAAAATCTGGCCACCGAGGTCAGTATTGAAATGTGGACGTAATGTTAACTGCTACTGAAAGGACCTTCGGGCCCTAAAAACTGGAGGGAGGAGAGAAAGAAGTGCAGCTGCCCCAAGGAGACAAGCCGGGCACAGTCACCAGGACGCCCCCGGCCGCTCGAGCCCTGCCCCGCTGGCGCTGTGTCTCAGGCCCTGAAGACAGAAACCCCGTCCGTAGGCCGGTGACTCCGGTACCGTTTCCAGCCCAAAGTTCAGGTTCAGGAATTAGGACTGCATGTCTGGAAGCTGTGCAGCTAGCGCCACCCAGAGGCCAAATGCTGTCCTTCTTGATCTGCGGTACAAGCAAAAGGAAAAAGGTGCAGGAATTTTTACCTATAGATGTGTATTATACATGTTTGTTGTTTAGTTGTGTCTGACTTTTTTGCAACCCCATGGGCTGTATAGCCTGTGAGGCTCCTCTGTCCATGGGATTTCCCAGGCAAGAATACTGGAGTGGGCTGCCATTTCCTTCTCCAGGGGATCTTCCCCACCTAGGGAGGGAACTCTTGTCTCCTGCTTGGCAGGCGGATTCTTTGCCAGTGAGCCTGGGAAGGTCATTATACATGTTATACACATGTATATTGTACACACGTACATGTGTGCACACATGTATGCAAAACATACATGTATCGTGTGTATATGTGTGCATGCTAAGTCATTTCAGTTGTGTCCAACTCTTTGTGACCCTCTGGACTGTAACCTGCTAGTCTCCTCTGTCCATGAGATACTCCAGGCAGGAATACTGAGGTCAACTGCCATGCCCTCCTCCAGAGGATCTTCCCAATCCAGGGATTGAACCTATGTCCCTTACAACTAACTGCATTGGCAGGTGGATGCTTTACCCCAGTGGCACCTGTATATGTATGCATATACCTATATTATATATGTGTCTCTATGTATATATGGTAGCTTGGGATGGGCATCACACACTACTAATTTGCCATGGAGGATAACTCCATTATGTTGTCTGTCCATTTTGTACTGAAGTGCGAAGGTGTTGGCCCATCAGCAACTGCTTGAGTAAAAGCAATGATCAGAGGCAGGGACACTGATCTCCTCTTGATCCCAGAATGTCTGATCTTGATCCCATCTGTCTGAGGCACCTGTCCTCTGAGAATGGCGATTCTCACCTAGAAACAGGTGAAGAACTTTGCTCCACTTTGGGTGGCCAAAGAAGGGGAGCATATTAAATGGAAGAGTGCCCAATGAAACAAGCCAGTTTCTCCCAGCTGCTGGCCCAGGAACATATAAATACTTTGAAGACAAGACGAGAGTCAATGCTTTCAAAGGAGCCAATTAATTCAGCTCATTTTACTATGATGTTAAGATAGCCTAGGTTTCCTGTACCAAAAACAAACAACAACCAAAACCTCTGGGCTCTGAGCAGCTCCTGGCGTTCAGATACATAACTGCTACTGAATCCACGGTTATCACCTGCGCCTTCCACCTCCGGCGTTTGGGGAGCTGCGCGCATTTTTAAAGGCACACTGCCCTCCAGTGGCGCAAAGTAAAATTGCACGACCTGCTTTCCTAGCGCCAAACTTCAGCTTGACTTTTCCTCGCGCCCTCACCCCGGGAAGGCGAGTGAATGCCACGACGTTGGGAGATCACTAGTCCGGAAACGTGATTGACGCGAGCGGGCTTGCGATCAAAGGGGAGGCGAACTCTTTGGAAACTGCGCCTCCCTCTCTCGCCGGTGCCTGTGGGCCCCTACACCAGAGAGATCTGCGCTTTTTGGCGGTGGGTGTGGGGTACGGCGCTTCGGGTCATAATTTTGCATAAAGGTATGACTGGGTAAAAATTAACACGGAAATAAAACTTTCAGGATAGATACAGAACCCTCGTACATAACAGCAGCCCAGGCGTGCAGGGGAATTGAGGGAGGCGGCCTGCACCCTGGGAGGACTGGCAGGTGGTGAGGACAACCACTCTGTCACCCCTTGAGTTCATTCCGGGCGAATACATGTGCAAACAGCAGCCGCCAACCTGGAGGGCTTGTCGCGGGTCCCGCAGGGATTACCTTATGCGATCTGCCCGATCACCCCCTTGAAAGAGTTTCATTCTCGACCCACTTTGAGGATGAGGAAACTAAGGCTCAGCAAGACGACGCGGCCTGCCAGTGACCGCACCGGGGCCGGGGGAAGTGGGGGGTCCAGGTCTGTCTGGACCAGAGCTGGAGCTTCCGACGCCGCGCTCGGGCGGGGGCGGTGGGACCCGGGCAGAACAGGTGGAAACCCGCGGCCCCGCGGATGCCCACTGAGGGGACGAGCTCAAAGGGGCCGGAGGGTGTGGGGCGGGGCTCACCTTGACGATGAGCGGGTTCTGAAACATGGAATCCCGCACAACCCCCAGCCTCTCGTTCTCCATGCCCGGCCGGATGTCGGCCACGGTCAGGGGCCGCCGCGGGGGTGGGCAGATCTGGCTGACCGTGCGGCGGACCGGCGGCTTCTTCTTCTTCCATCGCGTGAGGTCCTGGCAGGAGTTCCCGGCCTCTGGCATCCTGGGGGGTCGCCGGGAGTCGGCCCGCCGGCTGGATTCAGCGCGCTTCCCAGCTTGGGGGCGGGCAGGCGCGGAGCTCGGAGCGGGTGACCCCCCAGTCCCGGGACGCACCACCTGGACACCAGGGTGGGCTAGGACTCCGGGCTCGATCCGGAGGGAGGCGTGCCCACCTCGCGTTCCCCCGCCTCCTTGCGAGGAGCGCTAAGAGCTACATAAACCCCTCTGTAGGTTTATGAGAGCGTCCTCTGGGCGTCTTGCTGTGGATTTGTAAAGGGGAGAAAATCATGACCACCCTTTAAGGAAAAATGGAACCGCCCGTCTCCGTGGAGACGGGACGCCAACGGCGCTGGAACCAAGCAGGTCGATTGACTTACAGGAAACTTACTGGCGGCCACCTAATTGGACCTGTTTCGGAGTTTTTTACTCGAGGAAAACTCAGGAATCACCACTGGGCTATGTTAAAAGCGACAGATTTCTAGAGGACCATTTACACTTGATTTCCAAGTTAAAACACTCCCCTCCACTCTCCACCCCTTCCCATTTTTCCCAGCGCCCCTCACCCCTCTCCATTCCACCCCTCGCCCCTTTCCCTACACACACACACATACAACACAGACACACACACCCAGGGCAGACTGCTATGCGTTTCAGGATGAAACAGAAATTTGCAGTCTAAGCCTGTTACTGCTAATCTCAGATGAGTCATCTTCTTGAGTCCTCAGTGTTTTCTTCTGTGAAATGGGTAGTGAGGAAAGTCTAGAGTTGAATGAAATCAATGGTACCCAACTTTGTGCAACAGAATACAGAGAAGCTTATTTAACTTACATGAAGAGCACATCATGAGAAACGCTGGGCTGGAGGAAGCACAAGCTGGAATCAAGGTTGCCTGGAGAAATATCAATTACCTCAGATATGCAGATGACACCACCCTTATGGCAGAAAGGGAAGAAGAACTAAAGAGCCTCTTGATGAAAGTGAAAGAGGAGAGTGAAAAAGTTGGCTTAAAGCTCAACATTCAGAAAACTAAGATTATGGCATCCAGTCCAATCACTTCATGGCAAATAGATGGGGAAACGGTGGAAACAGTGGCTGACTTTATTTTTCTGGGCTCCAAGATCACTGCAGATGGTGATTGCAACCATGAAATTAAAAGACGCTTTATCTCCTTGGAAGGAAAGTTATGACCAACCTAGACAGCATATTAAAAAGCAGAGACATTACTTTGCCAACAAAGGTCCATCTAGTCAAGACTATGGTTTTTCCAGTGGTCATGTATGGATGTGAGAGTTGGACTACAAAGAAAGCTGAGTGCTGAAGAATTGATGCTTTTGAACTGTGGTGTTGGAGAAGACTCTTAAGAGTCCCCTGGACTGCAAGGAGATCCAACCAGTCCATCCTAAAGGAGATCAGTCCTGGGTGTTCACTGGAAGGACTGATGTTGAAGCTGAAATTCCAGTCCTTTGGCCACCTGATGCAAAGAGCTGACTCATTTGAAAAGACCCTGATGCAGGGAAAGATTGAAGGTGGGAGGAGAAGGGGACGACAGAGGATGAGATGGTTGGATGGCATCACCGACTCAATGGACATGAGTTTGGGTGGACTCCGGGAGTTGGTGATGGGCAGGGAGGCCTGGCGTGCTGCAGCCCATGGGGTCGCAGAGTCAGACACGACTGAGCGACTGAACCGAACCGAACTGAACTGGGTAAGGGGTTCACCACAGAGTTAGTTGCACAGACAACAAACCTGCACGCAAGGCCTTCCACACCAAGAGTGGACAACATCAGCACTACATTTCCAGAGCAAGCCAGAATTCCAACTGCTCACCCAAGGCCTGGAGCAGCCTTTGAGTGGTGACGTGTGTATGATGCAGGCTTACGGTTTCTCTAGTCTACTTTGCTTTCATGTTTCCACATATATGTACATTATGCACTTAAAGAAATATTTATTTGGCTGTGCCAGGTCTTAGTCGTGGCACTGGAACCTTTAGTTACAGAACATGGCATCTTCAACGGCTGGCATGTGGGATCTAGTTCCCTGACCAAGGATGGAACCAGAGCCCCCTGTGTTGGAAGTGCAGTGTCTTAGTGACTGGACCGCAAAGGAAGTCCCCCTTGTTCATTTTATAATCAAAGCTGCTTGGCAGCTCACACAGAGCAGGTCAAATGGTACAGCAAGGGGCAGGCTCCTGGAGTAGTGGAAAGATCACAGGTTTTAATCCTAGCTGGGGGGGCAACATAACTGGGACAATTTACAGGAAGCTCTAGCTTTCTCAGCCCCAAGGTAAGGCTGGTATCACCTAATAAAGATTCCTACAACAGGGGGTTATAGGATTCAATGAGAAGTCTCGTCGCTACTGTGATTATGTTCACTATGCAATAAGGCTAAAAAGTTTGCGTGGCATGCATTCTTTGACTTGATGACCTGCTTAAAACTTTACTTTTAATCATAAACTATGTTTCTTCAGGACACAGTGGATATGAAAGAATCGGAATAGATATTTGAGGCTTCTTCTAGCTCTAACTTTCACAGAAGTTCAACGTGCATCAGACCCTGCACCAGTTCACCACTGCCAACCCCTGAAGTCACCTCCCACCACTCTCTCCCATCTTTCATGGTGCTCCTGCTGCCCTGGCCTTCTTTCAGTTCCTCCAGCAACCAAGTTCAGGGCCTCCAGATTTGTTCCCAGCCTGAACACTCTACCATCTCGATTTTTGTTCATCTTTTTCGTTTCAAACTCAACTGTTACTCGTCAAAGAGTCTTTTGAGCTAGCACTCTCTGACCCCAGTCGTTCTCCATCACATTACCCTGTTCTATTTTCCTTGGAAGGTAATCTGAAATTATTTTGGTTGATCTGTTTGTTCTCTGTCTTCCTCAGGTAATCTTCACCCTCTCGACACTCCAGGACTGTAGTCAGTAAAAAAGAAACTGTTGAATACATAGCAATATAGGCATGAACCAGCAAGTCGGTGGAAGAGCTCTGTCCCACTTTCTCCCCTGCCCTGTGCGTGCGTGCCAAGTCGCTTCAGTTGTGTCCGACTCTGTGAGACCGTGTGGACCGTATCCCGCCAGGCTCCTCGGTCCAAGGCAATTCATGCCTTCCTCCAGGGGATCCCCACCCAGGGATCGAACCCTGGTCTCTAGCATCTCTCACATCTCCTGCATTGGTGGGCAGGTTCTTTACCAAGAGCGCCACGTGGGAAGACCCTCCCCTGAGCCACCCAACTCCCAAAGATCGCCGCAGTAAACAAAACCCGCAGAAAACGGCCTAAGAATCACAGCCTGGAGCAGGCCGGGGTGCTGCCGTGGCAACGCGTTGCCGGAGGGCGGGCCGGAAGTGACGAAAGATGATATCCGGTTTCAGGACACCGGCACTTCCGGATTGGAAAGCAAGGCACTTCCGGATCGGAAAGCAAGGGGACGTCGCGTTTGGCCCGTAGGTGAGACTGCTTTTCAGCTGTTCCGGTTTTTTCCCTCAGTGATCATGTCTGAACCAAGCTGTTTATGGCCGCTTGTCTTCATCTCCCCGGAGGCCTGCGTTGGACCCAGGTCCCCAGGGATGGACGTGGTGCCTGTTTTCTCGCAGCCGCTCCAGGCCCTTCCATGCGGGAACTTTCGTGTTTTTTTTTTCCTGTCAGCCCCGGAATGCCCATCCCGGGACCGAGCGGGGTCTTCTTGGAACCCCAGAGTGGGGAGGGAATCCGGGACCCGGCTTGAGCACGTCCCTGCAGGGCAGGAATTGGTCTATTCCGAACATAAATAGGGATAAATGCATGTAAATAGGGATAAATGCATATCCAGGGAACCGTTTGGGAAACAAACTGGACGAGGAGACCGCAGCCCTTAGGTGGCCGGTTACGTCCCTCCGGAGCTAAGTGCCATCGGGGAAACAGCTGGATTGTTGAGAAACCCTGTAAGGAGGAAGCGGGGCCCAGGAGGAATTAGAGGAAGTGATTTTCAAATTTAAGACTAGTTATAGCGCAGAAAGGTAACGCAGAGGGAAAAGCATTCCTGGGAGAACGAGATGCTTTTGTAAATCCCCTGAAAGATATCATGGTATATTCTGGGGACGTAAAGAAGACAGGGTGTCTGAAACCCAGAGAAAAATGAGAGGTGGAGAGGTGGTCTTGGACCAGACTAGATGCTAAAGGGAATGGTAGATCAGTAAGGATTTGGGATTCTGTCTTAAGAATAATGGAGAGGCCATAAAAAAAAGTTTTTAAGTGGGAAGTGACCCTGTACATAAAAGGTGCTGAGTTCAAGAAACCAGAAGGAGCAACATACAAGGTATTTACCAGAAAGAAAGAAAGAAGTGGATGGAAGGTAAACAGATATTTAAAAGGATTATCTGCTCTGTTCATTGTTATTAAGAGAGCTTGAGAGAATTCCCTGGTGGTCCAGTGGTTAGGACACCATGCTTGCACTACAGGGGACACAGGTTTGATCCCTGGTCAGGGTGGCTCAGCTGGTAAAGAGTCCACCTGCAGTGCGGGAGACCTGGGTTCAATCCCCGGGTTGGGAAGATCCCCTGGAGAAAGAAAAGGCTACCCACTCCAGTATTCTGGCCTGGAGAATTCCATGGGCTGTATAGTCCATGGGGTCACAAGAGTCAGGCAGGACTGAGCGACTTTCACTTTCAGGGAAGTAAGATCCTGCAAGTTGTGTGGTGCGGCAAAAAAAAAAAAAAGAAGAAATTTTGTTGTGAAGGGGAGGAAAGAGAATAGCTAGGTGGGACTTTGGGATTGGAGGATGGTGGCATCCTTGTTTTTGTTTTTTTTTTAAGTTAGAAAATAGTCTGAAGATTGTTGGACATTGCTAGAAGGGATCCAGTGCAGGAGGGAGAAGGGGAGAGACTGGTTAGCTGATGGATCACCATCTCTCTGAGAAGGAGGAGGTTGGGATCCAGCACACAGGGAAGAAATGGCCTCTGACAAGAGAAGAAACACTTCCTTTGCAGCAGCAAGAGGGGAGGAGAACAGGGCAAATGCAGGCAAACATGTTAGATTTGGAGGGGGACATATTTCTTAGCTAATGTGTGTAAGAGTGTGAGGTCAGAGACAAGATAATCTACTTCAGGTCAGGGTGAAGGATGAAATTTTGTAGCTTGTTGAGAGTTCCTGTGTGCTAAATCATTTCAGTTGTGTCAGACTCTGCGACCCCATGGACTGTAGCCCACCAGGCTCCTCTATCCATGGGATTCTCCAGGCAAGAATACTGGGATGGGTTGCCATGCCCTCCTCCAGGGGATCTTCCCAACCCAGGGATCGAACTGGTATCTCTTCTATCTCCTGCATTGGTAGGTGGGTTCTTTACCACTAGCACCACCTGGGAAGATTTGAAATAACCATTACAAGAAGAGTAGGCAATTGAGCCTTCTGGAGCACTGCTGTTCTCAGAAAACGTAAGAACACAAGCCACGTGTGTCATTTAAAATTTGCTAGTAGCCATGTTAAAGAACATAAAAAGGAAAGAGAATTAGGAATGCACATACTGAGCAATATCCAAACCATCATTTCATCGTGAAAGTAATTAACAACAGTTACAGGTGAGCTATTTCTCCATCTCTGTTCCAAGTCTTTGAAATGCAGTGTGTATTTACACTTAGATTCGTTTGGTCTAACCACGTTTAAGCACTCAGCAGCCTCGTGTGGCTCATGGCTGCCGTGTTGGGCAGCGCAGATCTAGAGGGACAGAAATCAGTTGCTGGTCACTGCTTGGGTCCCAGCTGTAGTCAGCAGCCAAGGGCTTAAAGCAGTGCCCATCTTCCCAGTTGTGAGTTTTTTCCTCCAACTGTTCTTAACAGTTCCAGGGCAGCCAAAGAGAAGGCATTAATTCATTCTCAAAACGTATATGTTGAATTCCTCCTGTGAGCCAGGCACTATGCTAGACGCTGGGGCTGGTAGTGGAGGAGACAGCCAAAGCATGCTGGGCCCTCTCTGAACAGGCCATCGCGTTGCAGCCGTTACACTGCTTACAGCTGAGGTCTCAGAGAGTCAGAGATGGGTGTCCATGTATCTCCGAGTGACGCCAGTAAGAGAGGCCGCCGCCAAAGCTCCTGGTGCCTCCATTGAAGGTGCGATCGTGAGGCTGGGGATTTGGCTTTTAGTCTTATCAGTCCACATGTTTGTCATTCCCTGACCTTCCAGCTGCACAATTCTTTTTTAAACATGTATTTATATTTGGCTGCTGCAGGGGCTTCCTCTAGTTGTGGCGAGCAGGGGCTGCTGTTGGGTGCGCTGCACAGGCCCCTCATTGGGGGGCTTTTCTTGTCGCAGAGCAGAGCACAGGCTCTAGAACGCAGGCCCAGTTGCTCCGCAGCGTGTGGGATCTTCCTGGACCGGGATTGAATTCAGGTCCACTGCATGGGGGGACTCTTAACCACTGGACCACCAGGGAAGCCCCACAATTCCTACAGCTTCTTTACTACCTAGGAAGAAGTAGGTACCTTCTGTAGAAAATGTGCTTGACATTCCGCATGGAAAGACCATTGATACAGAGAAGTCTCCACAATCTGTTGTTAAGTGAAAATAGCAAAATGCAGATCATAAAATACAGACACTGTGTGAGGGGCTTCCCAGGTGGTGCCAGTGATAAAAAACCCCGCCTGCCAACCCAGGAGACAGAAGAGATGTAGGTTCAATTCCTGGGTGGGGAAGATCCCCTGGAGGCGGGAACGGCAGCCCAATCTAGTGATCTTGCCTGAAGAATCCCATGGACGGAGGAGCCTGGTGTGTTACAGTCCAGAGGGTCACAAAAAGCCAGACACAACCAAAGTGACTTAGCACGCACGCACCTTCTGTGTGAGAAAGGAGGAGGGATACGCATAGATTATTTTGCTGTTTGAACCATATATTTCCTACATACAGAGAAGTAAAATCTTAAAAATTGAAACCCAGAAACAGTACAGAGCAAGGAGAGTTATAAGACATGTTTGTAAAATTATATTTTAGCCATGTCTTTTGTGAAGTACATTTCTGTTCCTGTACTTAACTTCCAGAATGCACATGCTCTGTATAAGAACTGACTTGGGAGCCTTATTAAACTTTATTCCAACTAACTGCAGAACTTGGACTCTTTGTTGAACCACTGATAAAGCCCATTCAGCCTCTTTCTCAAAGAGATAATCTTTTAGTTTGAGGTCAGTGGTTGCCTGCTGTCCTCGCTGTGAACCACAGCTGGGCTAAATGCTATAAAAGAGAAATTGTTTGCTGTGAAAATATATTGTCTGGGGAATAGACAAAGCCCAAGGGATCAGGAAAACTTTCTTTTCTGTCTTTCTCTTTTGTAGATTCTTAGTACATTTATATCCTTCATTTGCTTGTTTTTAACATAAGTGAAAGCAGCCTGTGCCCTTGTTCTGCCCCTTGCTTTATAAAGTGAACTATTTAAGGCATTCAGATAAGCGTAGACAAAAATATAGCAAACACCCCTGCGCTCATTATTCCAGTTAAGAAGTAAAAGACTACAGGGACTTCGCTGGCGGTCCAGTGGTTAAGACTCTGCGCTCCCACTGCGGGGGACAAGGGTGCATCCCTGGCCACAGAGCTGAAATCCCACATGCCGTTGTAGGGCGTGGCCTGAAAAAAAAGGAAGAGAAAGAAAAATTTACAGATATGAGAGAAGCTGGCTCTCTACTTGTCCCTAATCCCTGATTTGCCAGTTTACTGTGTTTATAGTTTTGCCATATATATATCCATTCAGAAAAGATACATGAAACTGTTTTTTTGTGTTTTAAATGTAATATATATGGTTGTCATTTAGTCTGACTCTTTGCAAACCCATGGACCGTAGCCCACCAGGCTCCTCTGTTCATGGGATTTCCCAGGCAAGAATACTGGAGTGGGTTGCCATTTCCTTCTCCAGGGGGTCTTCTCAACCCAAGGATCAAACCTGCGTTTCTTGCTTGGCAAGCAGATTCTTTACCACTCAGCCACCTGGGAACCATAATATGTATATTTTTTTAATGTAATATACATGGTATCATAATGTGTATGTTCTTTTAAAGTTTTCTTGAAGAAGCGATGTTCAAGCCAAGCTCTGAAAGATGAAAGGAGGCAGGAGGCAGGGAGGGGTCGGAGGCAGTGGAGAGCATCCTGGAGAGAGGAAATCATGTTTTATCAGACTTTGAGCCAGAAAAAGGATTGGAGCATGTTTGGGGAGCCAAAGAAAGAAAAAGAAAAAGCCATGTTTGGCTGGAACACAGAAGAGAGGTTAAAGAGGAGGGGGAACAAGGGCTTGATCAAGCCAGAGCATTGTTCTTAGCTAACTGTTTTTTTTCGTCTATATCATAAAGGCAATGGAAGCAGACAGGTGAATTATAGTGAGCTTGCAGTGCATTTAGAATAATAGGAACTTTATAATCATGACTCCAGGCTTATCGTTTGTCATGCAATTTCATCTTTCTGTGATTTTGTTTTCTTTCTTCTGAGGCTAACATATAAAATGCTCTGCAAAAATAAACTGTGTTGTTAAGTCCCCCTACAGGAGTAAAATGGAAGGAGAATCAAGCAGCTTGGAAACCCAAACTCCCGTTTTCGTGAAGAAAAAGGCTAAGCATTCTAAACATAAGGACAGACATCGGCGGCCTTCCCAGGAGAGTTTCAGAGCCGCCCCGCTGGCAAATGAGCAGTGTGATATAACGAAGCGTAAAAAAAAGAGAAAGAACAGCCAGCATCTCGTTTCTTCTCCTTTGAAGAAATCAGAAATCTGCTATGAGACTAAAATGGCCACATCTAAACCCAAAAAGAAGAAAAAGAGAAGAAAAAGTGCTTTGGGAGTCGACAGGGAAACAGGTGTTGCATACGTCCTGGTGGATAAAGAAAATATTGAGAACACACCAAAGAATTTCAGAAGCGATGTGGATGTCGTTTACGTTGATGCAAGCAAGGAGCAGAAGTCGACAGAATGGCCTGAAGCAGATGATCCCCATTCAGTTGCTAAGCCACGTGAAAACACGTCCGAGGAACTGCATGGTGAAGTTCGGAAGAAGAAGAAGAAGAAGAGGAAGAAGCATAAAAAACGTCAGAGGGAAGTTGAATCCTGGGATGCTGTCCAGGAAAGTCCGGGTGCAAGCAGTGCCCTGCCCAGGGCAGCCTCCCAGGAGCAGGAACCACAGCCTCAAGTGGACCAAGAAGGGGGAACCGTGCAACTCTCAGCGTCTGCGGGTCACAGCAAGTCCAGGAAAAGAAAGAGGAAGCATCCAGATCCCCCAGAATTCGAAGCCTTGGCTGCGCCCGAGAGGGCTGAGAGCGTGTACTCGGAGGGATCCCGAGTGGCTGATGAGGTCAAGACTGCAGGAGGCAGTCAGGACTCCAGCGGCCTCAAGAAAAAGTCTAAGAAAAGGAAGCGAAGATCTCTTGAGAGCACTGTGGCGTCTGGTGATTTTTCAGTGCCCGGGAGGAGCTCTGAGGACGCGCCTCTTGATTCACTGGAAGGTACCTTGATTGAAGAAAGTGCAAAACCCAGGCCACAAGAGGAGAATCCCCAGGCCTGTTCCAGAAAGGTGCAGAGGTAACATGATGATGTACATGTTGTGTGTGAATCCTGCCTGTGACCTCTTTGTTCAGCGCAGCCGTAGTGAGTGGTAGAAATCGTAAAGAGGTAGACCACCTGGGTATAGAGTGACGTGCAGAACTAACTGCATAACTTGGCGGGGACCTTCCTTTCTTCATGTATATAATAAGGCAGTTAAGATTCTGTTTTCACTGAGAACTTTTTTTTTTCCAACTTTTTCTTTTGTATTCAGTTCAGTTACTCAGTCCTGTCCGACTCTTTGCGACCCCATGAACTGCAGCACTCCAAGCCTCCCTGCCCATCACCAACTCCCGGAGTCCACCCAAACCCATGTCCATCGAGTCGGTGATGCCATCCAACCATCTCATCCTCTGTTGTCCCGTTCTCCTCCTGTCCTCAATCTTTCCCAGCATCAGGGTCTTTTCCAGTGAGTCAGCTGTTCGCATCAGGTGGCCAAAGGATTGGAGTTTCAATTCAGCATCAGTCCTTCCAGTGAACACCCAGGACTGATCTCCTTTAGGATGGACTGGTTGGATCTCCTTGCAGTCCAAGGGACTCTCAAGAGTCTTCTCCAACACCACAGTTCAAAAGCATCAATTCTTCGGCGCTCAGCTTTCTTTATAGTCCAACTCTCACATCCATACGTGACCACTGGAAAAACCATAGCCTTGACAAGACGGACCTTTTTTTGCAAAGTAATGTCTCTGCTTTTTAATATGCTGTCTAGGTTGGTCATAACTTTCCTTCCAGGAAGTAAGCGTCTTTTAATTTCATGGCTTCAATCACCATCTGCAGTGATTTTGGAGCCCAGAAAGATAAAGTCAGCCACTGTTTCCACTGTTTCCCCATCTATTTGCCATAAAGTGATGGGACCGGATGCTATGATCTTAGTTTTCTGAATGTTGAGCTTTAAGCCAACTTTTTCACTTTCTTCTTTCACTTTCATCAAGAGGCTCTTTAGTTCTTCCCTTTCTGCCGTAAGGGTGGTGTCATCTGCATATCTGAGGTAATTGATATTTCTCCCGGCAATCTTGATTCCAGCTTGTGCTCCCTCCAGCCCAGCGTTTCTCATGATGTACTCTGCATATAAGTTTAATAAGCAGGCTAACAATATACAGCCTTGACATACTCCTTTTCCTATTTGGAACCAGTCTGTTTTTCCATATCCAGTTCTAACTGTTGCTTCCTGACCTGCATACAGGTTTCTCAAGAAGCAGGTCAGGTGGTTGGGTATGCCCATCTCTTTCAGAATTTTCCACAGTTTATTGTGATCCATACAGTCAAAGGCTTTGGCATAGTCATTAAAGCAGAAATAGATGTTTATCTGGAACTGTCTTGCTTTTTCAGTGATCCAGCAGATGTTGGCATTTTGATCTCTGGTTCCTCTGCCTTTTCTAACAACAACTTGAACATCTGGAAGTTCACAGTTCACCTATTGCTGAAGCCTGGCTTGGAGAATTTTAAGCATTACTTTACTAGCGTGTGAGATGAGTGCAATTGTGCAATAGTTTGAGCATTCTTTGGCATTGCCTTTCTTTGGGATTGGGATGAAAACTGACCTTTGCCAGTCCTGTGGCCACTGCTGAGTCTTCCAAATTTGCTGGCATATTGAGTGCAGCACTTTCACAGCATCGTCTTTCAGGATTTGAAATAGCTCAACTGGGATTCATCACCTCCACTAGCTTTGTTTGTAGTGATGCATTCCTAAGGCCCACTTGACTTCACATTCCAGGATGTCTGGCTCTAGGTGAGTGATCACACCATCGTGATTATCTGGGTCGTGAAGATCTTTTTTGTACAGTTCTGTGTATTCTTGCCACCTCTTCTTAATATCTTCTGCTTCTGTTAGGTCCCTACCATTTCTGTTGTATTGGGTATAGCCAATTAACAATGTTGTGATAGTTTCATGTGAGCAGTGAAGGGACTCAGCCCTTACATGTAGATGTATTCATTCTCCCCCAAACTACACGCCCCCCCGCCGCCCCGCCCCCAGGCTGCCACGTGACACTGAGCAGAGTTCCTTGTGTGTACAGTAGGTCCTTGTTGTTTATCCGTTTTAAATACAGCAGCATGGACATGGCCATCCCAGCCCAGTAACTATCCCTTCCCCCCATCCTCCCTACCCCCACCTGCCCCGCCGCCACAACCCTAAGTTCCTTCTTTAAGTCTCGACTCTCAGACTCTGAAATTCTACGCATAAATTTAAAAGGCATTTTAAGACCCCCAAATTACCTTTGTGTATATGCACATAGATAGGAGAAAGGATTAGAGAGCTTAGAATGTTACTGGAGCAGAAAGAAAACTTGAGTTAGGGTTCTCCCTAATAAAAGTTTAGATGTTGTTATTTACATAGTTAACATTTAAATGTGCTGGCTGATGAATAAATGCAGGACTTTTCTTAAACTACTTTATCTGAGTTCCTGGCACTTGGGACAGGTTTCCTCCCCCACTTCCTTATCAGTAACTTTCTTCTCTTTGCTGACTAGAATATTGTCCTGGCTTGAAGTAGTTTCATATAGAAGTTAAATGGCCTAGGGCCCAGTTCACATCATCTTCTGTGTCATCTCATCAGGACATTTTAGATCACTCCCAACGAGGCAGGAGTGTTCTAGGCTCGCAGTTCTTGTATTGAGCTGTGAACCTGTGAAGACTGTTGACCCTTTGCTCAGACAAGTGCATACAGTTTCATTTTCATTTTGTTTCAGTTACCTGTCTGAGCAGCTAGCTGATATAGTTGACTAAGAGTGGCTTTGGACAGTTGATTGGAAGTTTCTGGGGATGAATTAATGATCAATACATAGAAAACTGTGTTTCTTTTTACTGCAAAGGGGAAAAAATACGGCCGTTGTTAATTGCACTGAAGCAGTGTTAACTATGAAGACCCTAAGTATTGACTTACCTAATTAATAACCATTATTATAGAACGTAACTCATTGAAAGAGTCCCAGAGGTGTCTTGAGTATCTGTGAGCATAGAAGAGGGCCTGGTTTATTAGGAAGTCAATATCTAAAACAATAAAGTTGAGAAACACTAATATAAGAAGCAATACCTTGTGGAAATAGGACTTAGGGCTGCATGTTTACCTTCTTGTCAGCCCCAAAGGTGTATCCGAGTTAGTAAAGCTGTTCAATACATTAACAAATTCACACGTCATGGACTGAATCAACTGCAGGATCCCTGCAAGCTTTAATGTTGTCACAGTTTAAATGAGAGTCATTGTAAGAAAAGAATCTGAAAGCCACTGGGCATGTGACCCATCGAGGTTATATCAACCCAGTTTTTCTCCTTAGGTCAGAACCTACAAATGAAGACAAAAGCAATTTGGCTAAAGAATCCGAAGCTAAATATTTATCTGAAGATTTGCGAGATTCCGGAGATCCGGAGGTGGAGTTGGAGTCTGCCGTGAAGCAGCTGCAGGAATTCATCCCCGACATCAAGGACAGGGCTGCCACCACCATCAAGCGGATGTACCGAGATGACCTGGGGCGGTTTAAAGAATTCAAAGCCCAGGGTGAGACTGTGGACTGAGCTTGAATGTTGGTCAGACTCCTTTGCTATTAATGTGTGTGTAAATTGCCCTGACCTCCTTTGTGCACAAGTTCAGCTTTACAGGTTTACGGGAAGCATCCCTTAGCTGCTTTCAGCTGCATTTCCTTCCAGAACCGTCATCTGTGCTATAAAATTAGCAAAATGAAGTGCGACGGTTTTCCTCTTTTTTGGTAGGGGAAGTGAGGGAAGAACAAGGCTGAAAGAACCAGGTGATCACAGATGAAGCCTGGAAGATGCGGGGAAAGAGGCTAAGTGGTTAAGAGGCTGGGAAGGATGCACCAGTGAGATTAAATGAAAACATGCATATCAAACATCATTGGCTTTGATGAGGTGTAATTTCCAGGCTGTTAATTGGAGGGTGAGCTGGTGGGGGTTGCCATGGTTTCAAGCAACACCCAGCTTGGTCTCCTCCTTGATTTCACTGTGTTGCAAGAACCTCTCAAAAAGCCTATTGGATTTCAGAATGAACGGCAAGTGTAGGGCTGAGTACTGCAGGTGAGTGGTATTTACTCATGGGTATCTGCCGTGTGACACCCCGTGCCACTGGTTATTGAAAAAAGTAAAAATGGGGGCGTTAGCCTTACAGAAGGCATCATGTTAATAAGATTAGTTTTTTAAAAAATAGACATAGAGCAATATCTATAGAAGGACCCCATTTTATTTCTGTATTCTATGCTGAAATTTTTATGAGTGTATATTTTATAAAAAGATTTTTAAAACAAGTCTGGGGCCTCCCTGGCAGTCCAGTGGTTAAGCCTCCTCACTTCCAGTGCAGGGTGCACAGGTTCAATGCCTGGTCAGGAACTGAGATCCCACATGCCACGCAGCTTGGCCAAAAAATAAATAAGTCTAAGGTTGGGAAGGTGTCCTGTGTAATGCAGTCAGTAATAATGAGACTTGAGTGCTTGGAGTTATGACAAGGAATAGAACGTGAATCGCAGTGACCTCGACCCCTCCATCCCGCAAGGTCCACACACAGAGAACGTGCATGCGCGTCCACGTAAGTGCCAGCCAGGTGGCAGCGCGCCTCAGGGGACTGGGCCGCAGAGGCGAGTGAAGGGGTCTTCCTGTAAACTTCCGTTTCAGTCGTTGCAATTTTTAATGTATATTACTCTTAATATTTCTTTAAAATAACTCTGTAAGAAGGGATTGATGATACAGCAGAGGTCACAGTGGAGTAGGATGACCGGGGGAGACTTGGGGAGGACAGTGTGGCTTGAGCTCAACTCTTTAGGGGATCAAAGGTCCAGGGCCCAGGCAGGGGCTGCTCCCTGACAGGTGGGGAGGGGCTGACAGGCGCTGTGTCATAAGTTGCTAACGACCTAACGTTGGTTTGCTTTCATTTGTTGTTGACAATTGTGTACCTTTTTCTCCCGCCCCCACCACCCCCCAATCCTAGGTGTCACTATTAAATTTGGCAAGTTTTCCGTGAAGGAAAATAAGCAGTTGGAGAGGAATGTGCAAGAATTCCTGTCCCTGACAGGAATCGAGAATGCAGATAAGCTGCTGTACACAGACAGATACCCGGAGGAGAAGTCTGTGATCACCGACTTAAAGAGGAAATACGCGTTCAGAGTGCACATTGGTAAGTTTAGAGCTGTGGGCTCTTTGACCCTCCTCAGAGTTCCAGCCTCGCCTGGATGATCACGGTGAGGGCTGAGCACAGGATCTGGCCCACCCACCGCAGCAGCGCGTGCTAGTCGCCGTGTTAGCAGTCCTGTTACTGCCAGCCTGCACTCCCAGGGGTTTGGAGCTTGTTCTCTAGTGCATTGACAGATGTCGTAAGCAAGGATTAGCTTCCAGGTTTCCTGCATGCGTACGCTTCAGTCCTGTCTGACTCTCTGCTACTAGGTAACAGTTACAGTCTCGGTTTCTCTCCCAGTCCTATACTGTGGGTTTTTTTTTTTTTTTGTACATACTGCAGAAAGCGCATGCCCCTGTGTGCCAGCATCTCCCAGGGTCTTAACTAGAGCCATGTGTAAGCTTTGAGCTGGGACCCTCCTCCTGGAGGTATCCTTGGAAAGTCAGAGAAGGTCATGAAGCAGTATAGGTTTGGACTGAAAAAAAAATGTCTTGTGACTCCCCTCATGGTCCAATGACTGAGACTCGGCGCTCCTAATGCAAGGGGCCTGGGTTTGATCCCTGGTCAGGGAACTGGACCCCACTTGCTGCAACTGAAAGAATTTCCATGCCACGACTAAGACCTGGTGGAGACAAATAAATAATAACAATAGTAAATCTCTCTTGTATTTAAAGAGGAGAATTTCTTAGGTTTTTGTCTGGAATGCACAAAGGAAAGCAGAACAGTCAGCCCCTGCTAGGGGACCATCGTCTTTGGAGTGGAAAAGCGGGAAAAAGCTTATTCGCTTGGAAAAGTTTTTTGTTTTATCTTTCAGAGAGCTGCTGGTGTGTGTCCACCTCAGCATCCCCTTCTCCTAATTCAGTGCCTTTGCCTTACAAGGTTCTTGTCACGAATTTAGGAGACCAGAAGCTAGAGAGAGAGCCTTCACACTGAGCATGTAGTTTTCAGAGATCACCAAGGAAATGGGATTTTGTATCAATATATCTGCTCCCCAAGACAGCTTTCTGCAGGACATAGGAAATCCCGGCCTCCACCTGGGGTCTAGGATCGTTCATGTAGTAAAAAGGGGCTCTTCTGGGTTTCTTTTATAATTGCAACTGTGTTCCGTGCCACATTCCTGGTGTCCCTCTGACCACCTCTGTTCTGGCTTCAGGTAAAGGCATTGCCCGGCCCTGGAAACTTGTATATTATCGAGCAAAGAAGATGTTTGATGTCAATAATTACAAAGGCAGGTAAGAAAAACCTGGAGCAGGACATTTCTCTAGTCTTTGTGATAATACAAGTCAAAGGGTCTGCAGCAAAATGGTGAAGATTCTTGTGTGTGAAACGAGATGTGTTGTCACATGTATGTCTCCAAGGACCCTTTCAGGTGTCACCTCTTGAGTAAATCTTCCACAATATTCCTCTTTTTAAACCCCTAGTTTACTTTCTACTTCTGTCTTAGCACTCGCCACGTGCTGCCTCTTACTGTTGCTCGAGAGGTTTTCTCAGCGGCCTCCCGAGCGGTAAGCTCCTTGGGAACCCAGATGTTCCTTCTCAGTGCAGTGTGCCTGCAGCACTGAGCCCAGTGCTTTGGGTTTCCGGTAAATATTTGCAGGTGGAGGTGAGCACGACTGTGAGGTCATCCCAGTGTGATGTAGTTGCATCAATGCAGAGAGTTTCATGGGGTGATGACCAGTCTTTCCTCTCTTTTTTCCTAAATAAAATACCCAATTATGGTCTGTTTCTAACACTCCAAATAAAACAAATGTAGATTGAGCATCGGTAGTGGGTAAGCACTCTGCTTCAGAACAAAGGAATGAGCAGAAAAGCGTCAGCTCCCGCCCATGAGGTTCCAAACAGCCGCCAAGGGCTCAGCCACTGATCCCACCTCCAGGAGGCAGACAGTGTGAACCTATCAGGGCTGTTGGGTCCTCCTTAGCCCCGTGATTTTAAGTCAAAACATACGTATTATCAGATCTTAACACAGATATGACCTTAGTCTCTTTTTTGAAACTTTTGCTGAAAGAAATAAACCTGAAGTAGATGAAAGGTGTTCCACAGGAACTGAAACCTTCCCCCCAGCCCAAGCCCCAGCGTCACACAGCTATGGACAGAACTTTAAGAAAATTCAGCAGAGGTGACATTTCAGCGGGACTTAACGCTTTTGCTAAATCAGTGTTGGCAAATGAGGTAACCTAGGTGTGAGAATGACATTTTTAGAATAATGGAAGTCTGTCATTCTGATCATAAAGTTCATTGGTGCCATATTTATGTTGTGGTGGCCATGTACCCTAAGTATGTTTTTACAGTTTAAGGAATTCTTAAGTGAAAAAGCCACAGAAAGTCAAAAGTCAAATAATTGAAAGGCTCCAAGGGGCTGCGGAGGTCAAAACACTTGTTTCCTCGTTTTCATCCACTCAGCTTCTCACCAGCTCTTTTGTGTGGCTTCAAAGGTGCTCTTAAGTCATTTTTTAAATCTCAGTAAGATCCTGCCTGCCCTGAGAAGGAGGCTGCTAGAAAGCTTGATTCTTAGTGGTGATGGATTGCCATTCAATGCCATTCAACCATACTCTGCATTTTAGATACATTTCTGAGAACGCTGGAATCTTAACTGTCCTGAGATAGTTGTGGATCACTATCACTAGAGATGGTTAGTATTTTATAAAGGCTGCTTTTGTGTCATATTAGTAATAACATCAACCACCACTTCCCCCACCCCATCCATAAGGAATTGTAGAATGTCATAAAGATGGCTTTTTCTTCACTTAAACATTTTAGGTGTTTGATCTCAAAGATCTCTTTATAGTGCATTTTAGTTCTTTTCTTGAATATCTTTGCTTTTATGTGGGGTTCACACACCTTAACATCCTTAAACTGACAGATCTGTGCTAAGCCACCTGTCACGTCTTTATTGAGTGTCTATTATGTGTCAAGCACCACGGGTACCACAACGTAGAAAGTCCACAGGGGCCCTGCCCTCCGAGGATGTCCCCTCCAGAGCTGTGCTGTCAGTCCCGGGACCACCAGCCTCACATGGCTGTGGAGCACTCAAGCCGTGGTTAGTCCAAGCCTTGCTGTTCTGAAGAATAAAATACACACTGGATTTAGGAAGTCTAGTATGGAGAAGAAGTGAAGTGAAGTCACTCAGTCATGTCCGACTCTCTGTGTCCCAGTCCATGGGATTCTCCAGGCCAGAACACTGGAGTGGGTAGCCTTTCCCTTCTCCAGGGGATCTTCCCAACCCAGGGACTGAACCCAGGTCTCCCGCGTTGCAGGCAGATTCTTTACCCTCTGAGCCACAAGGGAAGCCCTAGTGTGGAGAAGGGAATATAAAGTCCCTTATTTATACTTTGAGGTTCTGATTCCATGTTGAAATGGCTGCAAGTTTAATACATTGGGTTAAATAATATGTATTGTTAAATTAGCTCATTTTCACACAACCCCTAGGAATTTCTGAGGGACACAGGTGACTCAGCATTTCCATTGGCCAGTGGTGGCGTGGAGGAAGGTCAGGCAACCAGGGGAACCATGAGTATACAGTTGGAAGTAGTGACTGTACTACTGGCTCCACCAGCCCTGACGCTCAGGAAAGCCTCGCTGAAGACGCACCATTTCAACTGCATCTGAAGAGCCGGCAGGGCCTTTCCAGGGGGTCGAGTGGAGGGAGAGGAGGGCTTCCCATCACAGGTCTAGAGGCCAAGGTGACTGGTGGAGCTGAACCGTGGGGAGTGCTGGCCTTTGCGGGCATAGTCAAAAAGCCCAGGTTTTATTGTTCGGAGCCTTTATGTGTCTGGCTGGGGAATGGCGAGATCCATCTGCCCTGGCCTCTGTGTAAGCGAGCCAGGCCTCTGGCCAGGGACCATTGTGACCGATCTATAGGATGCCCACGGGTGAGATGGGCTTCCCTGGTGGCTCAGCTGGTAAAGAATCTGCCTGCAGTGCAAGAGACCTGGGTTCGATCCCGGAGTAGGGAAGATCCCCTGGAGAAGAGAAAGGATACCCACTCTAGTATTCTGGCTTGGAGAATTCCATGGACTGTACAGCCCATGGGATCGCAAAGAGTCAGACACAGCCGAGTGACTTTCATTTCACTGTCATGAGTGAGATGCCAAGGCAGGAAGGGGCAGGGCTCTGGTCCCTGGTAGCTGGTGTCCTGATGGCCCACCCCACTCAACTGCTTCCAGCACCCAGACAGCCCAGTAAGCTTATGGTTCCTGCTCAGCTGTGACCTGTTTTCTCTTCCTCTTAGGTACAGCAAAGGAGATACCGAGAAATTGAAGATATACCAGTCCCTGCACGGGAACGACTGGAAGAAGATTGGTGAGATGGTGTCTCGAAGCAGTCTCTCCGTGGCCCTGAAGTTCTCCCAGATCAGCGGTCGTAAGTTGTGGTCCCTGGTGCCCACCCACGTGAGCAACCCAGCCCAGAATGACTCAGGGCTCAGGCATCACTGCCCACCTGTCTGCTGAGAGAGCCATCACTTTTTCAGCCATTCTCTGACCAATTCATTTCTTCATGTGTATTGTTGAAACCACACAACCCTTGCTTACCAGACTGATTTCTGTGCTGCACTGAACTTAGTTCAGTAGCTTTCAGCCTGACTGTAACTGCCAGATAAACCAAAACCCAAGGAAGCCGGTGGATAGGAGAGCCTGGGCCGCCAAAGTCTGTTCCCCAAGGTGGCCCAGGGAGGGCCTGTTAGGTGTGGATGTTTCCCACAGCCAGTGTCAGCCAGCTTCTGTCTCTTTTCCTCCTCTTTCATTAAAAGCTGCCTTGGTGGTAGTCTTCACATTAAGAAAAAAAAAAAATCCCCAGTTGGTTTAAGAAGGTGGTCCTTAGCGGCTATTGGCATCAGCCCAGAAGCTAAACAGTGTTGGGTTTCCAGTAAATATTTGAAGGTGGAGCTGAGCACAAGTATGAGGTCATCCCAGTGTGATTCGGTTACATCAATGCAGAGTTTCGTGGGGCGATGGCCATTCTCCCGCCCCACAGGCAGAGCAGGGCCCAGGGCAGTAGGCAGTGGGTCCCAGGCAGGTGTCTGCATGCCTGCATGCGGTAGACCCCGAGGGGGTTGGAGACCAGGCCTTCTGTGCCACCAGTGCCAGCCAAGTCTCAGCGTGGCCAACTCTGCGAGTTTCCAGGAAATAAAGCAAACATCTGAATTTGCGTGCACGTGTGAAATCAAAATATCTTTTGGGAATTTTACCTTTTTTTCCTTGGGACTCTCTTGACTTTTAAATATTCATCCTAATTGTTATTGGGGAATAGTAACAGTAACACTCTGAGGCCAAATCAAAGATAGGTGTATCCTGCCGGTCTGCAGCCTCATCCTTAGCATGTGAGCAGCTGGACAAGAAGCGTGAACTGTGGGTGCTCTGGCGTCTGCAGCAGTGATTGGCTGTCGAGATTCTCAGGTGCCTTCGTCGTCACATGCTGTGGTGACCTCCCTGCGCCTTGAACTCCACTCCGGGAGCTCTTGTGGGGAGTTAGCATATAACACAGAAGACCTTTGGTTGCTTTTTTTCCCACTAAATGTTCAGCTAACTCACAACTGCCTGCAGGAGAGATTACTCTTAGAAACAGAAAGAACGGCTTTTTCAAAGTTAAAAACAAAAAATAGATTGCTTTAAGAAAGGGTTTTTCGGGGTTTTTTTGCCACTGGTTGTATGTGTGTGCACGCATGTGCATGTATACACACTCTTGGGTCCTAAAAAGAACCTGTGGGCACTTTAGTAGTTTCGTCTTGATTTGCATGTAAACTGTATAATTCAGATGTTGCTCATTATCTTTTGGAAAGGGGCTGATATATCTTTTTGTTTCTAATGACTTTGTTTTTCTAGAGCAGTTTTGGGGTCACAGTTAAAGTGAGGGGAAGGTACAGAGATTTCCTGTATGCCCCCCCACCACTACACACGCACAGCCTCCCCCACCATCTACGCCCCAGCAGAGTGGCCCATTTGTTAGAATCCATGAACCGACAGTGGCACACTTTAACCTCCCCCAAGTCCATAGTCAACAGCAGGAACCCCTCTAGCTGTTGTGCCTTCTGTGGGTTTGGACTGAGGTCCAGTGACACGTATCCATCATTCTCGTTGTGTTTTTAATACTGTGTTTGAAAACAAATAGATTAGCAGCTTCAAGACCATCCTTTTATGTCAACAGAAATTAATCATGGTGCCTGGAGCAAGACAGAAACCCAGAAATTAATCAAGGCTGTTGAAGAAGTGATTCTGAAGAAAATGTCTCCCCAGGAGCTAAATGAGATGGATTCTAAATTGCAGCTGAATCCTGAAGGCCGCCTGTCAATTGTTCGGGAGAAGCTCTACAAAGGCATATCCTGGGTAGAAGTGGAGGCTAGAGTGGAAACCAGGAATTGGATGCAGTGTAAAAGTAAGTGGTAAGTTTGAGGCTTCTTACCTAAATCTCAACAAGGTGCTGCCTTCCCCCTTCTCGGCAGTTTCTAGTGAGTGGGTGGGCTGGGGAGGTCACTAAGAATACCTCCGACCACCATGTGGAAAGCCTTGCAGGTCAAGAATCCTCTCTGATCCTCGGCTCCAGCAACTTCCATGTCAGTATCTGATCTAAGGTGGCACTTAGCCAACCCTGATTCATCGTGTGGCTACTTCATAAACAACTCGAACCTTTTTATTGTTTTAACTGAAGTATACTTGATTTACAGCGTTGTGTCAGTTTCAGGGGTATAGCTAAGCGATCCAGTTGTGTGTAGAGAACTTTGCATGTTCTTTTCCAACATTCACAAGATGCTGAGTGCAGCCCCCTACGCTTGTACCTTGTGTATCGGTCTCACATCTACTGGTTTGTATGTGCTCATCCCCATCTCCTAATTTGTCCCTCCTCCGCTGATCCTTCGGCTACCAAAACTTTGTTTTCTATGTCTCTTTCGTGAATAGAACTCGAATCTTCTTAATATTGAATATTGTATTGTATTGACTTCCGGTTTCTTCACTCTGTCCCTTTCTTCATAAAACAAGGTTGTTACCTATTTATAGCATGAAATAAAAGCACGAAACTAGCGTCTGAACATTCAGGAGAGAAATCACAAGCCTAATGATCAGAAATAGCTCTGCCTCTATTTTTGCTTTCTTTGGTTTTTTTTTTTTTTTTTTTTTTTGACTTTGACTTTCTCATTCAGACTCCTCTTTGCTGAAGCAGGGCGTTCAAACATTTATCCTAGAAGGTTTTAGGTGCATCCGTCATGTAGAAGTAGTTTCAGTCCAGCTCTGGCTGCACATTCTTTTCGTGGGATAGCATTTCCCAGCCCTGGGAAGTCTCTGAGCTGAACTTTCAGCTGCAGCATGATAGCTTGCAGCAGTGGTCCTGCAGCTCACACCCCAGGCCTCCTACACAAAGGGGCCTCCATCGACTTGACTAGTAAAGAAGAATGGACTCCAGAGTGGGCATGTTGTGCATTAAAAGCAAACTCCTAGATTACACTGTGTACTGTGTATATACCTTGCAGCTCTACTGTAGGGTACTTGTTTATTTTACTAGAAGACTATCCTCAGAACATAAACTCCAAAGAACAGTTAATGTTTTAGGGGGGGAAATGGGTACTATGGAGGAATCAGAGCCCTTTCTACCTCTGGTATCTTAGACTTAAAGAAGTGGGAGGACTTCCCTGGCTGTCCACTGATTTAAGACTGCACTTCCACGGCAAGGGGCAAAGGTTCGATCCCTGGTCGGAGAAGTTCTGCTTGCTCCAGGTTGTGGCCAGAAAAAAAAAAGATGAGGCTTCCCTGGTGTCCCGTGGTTAGGAGTTCATGCTTGCACTTGCTTGGGCCTGGGTCTGATCCCTGCTCAGGGAGCTGTGATCCTGCAAGTCATGCAGCCAAGGAAAAGAATGGGTGATCAGCCTTAGTTAGAGATGAGACGCCAGTGTCTTAGAAGGGAGACAACCAAGAGGAGCCATGCCTCAGACTCAATATAACTAAATAACTCGCAGGGCTTCTTGTTTAATTGGAAGAAAAATGTAGAAAACTGGAACACTGAACATTGATTTACTTCGTGAAACACTGAAGTGGCATCAGGTGGTACATTTCAAAACAGGATGTGGGCAGCTGACCAAGAAGTGTCGGTTTCTATGCGTGTGTCATGTACCTTCCTTCTCAGGAAAGCAAATGTCACCACTTGTGACCTGTCCGTCATATTGTGACAAATTTCACTCTTTAAGAGAAGCACTTTTTAAATATTTTTAATTAGGTTCCTGCTCTCATTAGGAACTCCAGGAAACCCTTTCCTTCAGCCATGAGCTTTGAGCCTTAGAGGAATCACTGAATCATTTATCACTTTACTCAATGTGTCTTATTTGGTATTTCAGCAGCTCAAAGGTTATAACAGCCATGTCCCTGTTTTATAAGCAAGCAAAAATAAATTGAGTCTGCACAACACCCTTTAGCACCAGCAAGCAGGCCAATTTTTTCTTTCTTCCTTTTTTTAACTGTTTATCATTAAAATTTTATGCCACACTTAGAACTCCTTACATCCATCATCCAGTTTCAATAAATAATCAACAACTTTCTATCACTTTATTTGTACTTTCCCACTTAAAAACAAGTATATTCTTGATGGTGGTAAATGCTAGCAGTGGTAGGTTGCAAAAAGTTAGAAAGTGGTTCTGAATGAGGACAATTTAGTATTTTTTGTTTTTCCAAAAATTTCTTTAATTTTCTCTATGACTTGAGGGGAGGTGAGCCAAGGCTAGGGGGCTGCTTCAGGGATGGAGTATATGAGGCCTTGGAACTTGGTGGTGGTTCAGTCGCTAAGTCATGCCCAGCTGTGCGGCCCCATGGACGATAGCACACCGGTTTCCTCCGTCCGCCACTGTCTCCCAGAGTTTTCTCAGACTCATGTCCATTGAGTTTGTGATACCATCCAACCATCTTATGCTCTGTCACCCCCTCTTCCTGCCCTCAATCTTTGCCAGCGTCAGGGTCTTTTCCAGTGAGTCAGCTCTTCCAATCAAGTGACCAAATTGGAGCTTCAGCATCAGTCCTTCTAATGAATATTCAGGGTTGATTTCCTTTGGGATGGACTGGTTTGATCTCCTTGCTGTCCACGAGACTCTCAAGAGTCTTCTCCAGCATCACAATTCAAAAGCATTAAATCTTCAGTGCTCAGCCTTCCTTATGGAACTTAGGTACTTTCATCCTGGAGGAAGCACCACTGAAATACCACCTTACAGTCTGAGCAACAACCTGAATAAGGACAGTTTCAATGAGGAGAACAAAGGACATTTTAATGGAAACTTTACCTGAAAGTAAACTGTTTTTCTTTTAACGCAGGACGGAAATTCTAACCAAGAGAATGACGAATGGTCGGGACGTGTACCGTGGAGTGAATGCTCTGCAGGCCAAGATCAATCTGATCGAAAGGTACAGAAATAGACGGGACCCTGTTTTACCTGATTTTCCCTCTAGCAAAGAATAGTTAACCAAGCCTGTGGGTCTAATGGACCTGGGCTTGTGTCGAAGGAGGGGTGGGGAAGAGCAGAAGAAACCTGGATTTCGGGTACCCTGCGCAGCTTCCTTCCTCCTGTCGTCTGTCAGGGATGCTGCTTCTCCTTCTTCAGGGGGCTTCCTCATTCTCCACGCTGGCCTGGCTGGGATGCCCGCCCCCGCTTCACTCCTCCCCCAGAGGGACTCTCAGAGACAAGGAGGGCCTCTCAGGCAGGCGGGCCTGGGCTCCAGTGGGTCCATCATGTTGGTCCGAGCTCTCAGTCCGTCTCCTGGTCTGCAGAACAGACACAGCCCCCAGCTTCATCATACAGTGTCAAGGGTGAATGGACTCGTGGGTACAAGGCCTCAACCCAGTGTCTGTCACATGGTCAGTGCTGAGGACGCAGCTACTCCTCCTGTGTGTCTGCGTGAATGGTGAAGTTGTGTTTGTTTTTTTAATTGAAGCATAGTTGATTTAATTTCTGCTGTGCAGCAGAGTGACTGAGATATACATACATATATATATATACACACAATATACGTTTTCATGTTTTATTCTTTTCCATGACAGTTTATCACAGGTTATTGAACGTTAGCTGTGAAGTTAATGTTCTTTACACGAGGAGGCAGCACAGCTTGGTGGGAGGTGTGAAGGGCTCAGGAGAGGAGAGGAGGCTTTCTGGTCTGGAGCTCACGCACCTTGTAACCTGGCTTTGCCTGCCAGTGTCACTGGGCGTGGGTAACAAAGGGAGCCGGAACAGAGGTGGACACACTGAGGCCTTCCAGCTCTTAATTTTCTGTGAGTCCATGAAGATGGCCATCATGCTGAATTTTGGCTTGAAAACTTAATTTTTATTTTTTTCTTATAGGTTGTACGAAATAAATGTGCAAGATGTTAATGAAATAGACTGGGAAGATCTTGCTCGCATCATAGGGTAAGGACATTTGTTTAATATTAAGCTAATGAAAAGATAAGAGAATAAATGACTGCCTATCAGACTTCAAAGACCAAGACTGAAATTCGTGCCGCCTATCTGTGTTACTCACCTTATAAATTATATTTATGAACCTTATAAAATGTATTGTATTGGTGAACCGCCCCCACCCTCCTTAGCACTGGACGAGGTTAATCATACCACCCCTCCCTCTACTCCAGCCCCATCTCTACCCCCACGACACCTGAGAAGAGTGAATGAAACGTCTGTCGAGTCTCTTAAAGAACTCACCAGTTACGACTGGTAGGAAGAACCCAAATGGCCTTCACCCGTTACCAGCCTCCTACCATCTGCCACGTTGGCGCTATCATACCTCCTTCGCTGTCCCCATCGTGCTTCCCACTCCAAGGGAATAGAGTTGTTTGCATCAACCAGTTGAGAGTTAGTGGTGGACAACGTGTCCTCAGCAAGGCTGTTATCCTGCATCGGCCAGCACAGTGATCACGCTGAGGGCGTCTGCGTGGCCGCAGTGCTCTTCTCTGACGCACGGCCCGGTGCGGATTTCACCCATTGTCCCAGAAGTGCCCTTCGCAGCACGTACCCCCGTCCTAGGATCCAACCCAGGATCTGTCTCCTTAGCGTCATCTAATCCGCAGATTCTTCTGCCTCTGTATTTCTTTTTATCATTGCAGTGTCGTTGATTTACAACGTTTCACAGGTACAAGAAAGCAATTCAGTTGTGTGTGTGTGTGTGTGTGTGTGTGTGTGTGTGTGTATTTTCAGATTCTTTTCCATTAAAAAAAAAATTGTATGTATTTTGGCTATACTGGGTCTTTGTTGCAGCACTGCCCCTCATGTGGGATCTTAATTCTCTGACCAGGGATCAAACTCACACCCCCTGCATTGGAAGGCAGGTTCTTCACCACTGGGCCACCAGGGAAGTCCCTCACATTCTGTTGCATTATCACAAGATGTCGGTTGAATATAGTTCCCTGGGCTGTACGCTCGATCCTTATTGTTTGATTTGTTTTAGATACAGCAGCATGTTTCTGTCAGCGCCTTTGTCTTGGATGATGCTGAGACTGTGGGAGAACACGGGCGAGTCCTGTAGCTTGTCGGAGGCTTCCCCAGGGCTAGATCTGTAGTTTACTGGAGTCCCCGGGGGCGGGGCTGCCCTGAGGCCCGTGGCTCTGACATCATTTCCCCCTGTGGAAAAGCGGCAGTCTCCCTTGGCTAGGGAATGGGAGGTGTTTGAGGCCCCCTCAGGCTGCTCTTCCTCTCCAGGCCTCCTTGGTGGTTGTGCCGTGCTGACCGTTTGCACCTCTCACCTGACGACTGCCATTTCACTCTCATCCGCTGTGACGACCTGCCTTTGTTGCTACGGTCCTTGCATTTTCTGCCAGTGAAGGAGAGGCCACCCTTCCTAAGACCTGAAGTCGCTGCTGGCCCAGCAGGGAGAGCTGACCCGCAGAGCCCCGTGCCTCTAAGCCCAGCAGATTGCCAGGCACTGTGGGGCTCAAGGCTGGTGGGCTTTGGGAGGCGGGGCGTTAAGGGACCGTCTGGCCTTTAGGTTTGAAGGGTGGAGCAGGGAGCAGGGCTCCCGCAGCCTGGCTGCCTTTCAGAAGCGGGGCTGCTGATGTGAGGCTGTCATCGATCCATTAGGAAGGGTGTAAACTGGTTCTACTGGCAGGTTATTTATATCTCAGGATTATGGACAAAGCACAGTCCATAAAGCATCAGTTCAGTTCAGTTCAGTAGTTCAGTCATGTCTGACTCTTCGCAGCCCCATGGACTGCAGCACACCAGGCCTCCCTGTCCGTCACCAACACCCAGAGTTTACTCAGACTCACGTTCATTGAGTTGGTGATGCCATCCAACCATCTCATCCTCTGTCATCCCCTTCTCCTCCCACCTTCAATCTTTCCCAGCATCAGGGTCTTTTCAGATGAGTCAGTTCTTCGCTTCAGGTAGCCAAAGTATTAAGAGTTTCAGCTTCAAACCATAAAACATAGTGGTTAGTTGTTTACATCTCAGGATTATGGACAAAGCATAATCAGTTCTGGTTGTTTGTTTTTACTTGGAATTGGAATGGTTTAGTGGCAGGCCTTATCAAGAGTCACACACCCCACGGTTCCAAACCCTTTCCTTCCCCAGCTCATCTCAGCAGTGGGGCGTCTGGTCTTCGTTTAGTGGGTCCCTAACGGAGGGGTGTCAGGGACTTTGAAGGGAGGGGATCCTGCTGTGCACCCCACCATCTCCCACCCCAGGAAGTGTTCATGTGGACACATCTCTCCCTTTGCCATACCAAACCACTTTTGAAAAACCCTGGGACTTCCCTGGTGGTCCAGTGGTTAAGAGTCCACACTGCCAATGGAGGGGGCACGGGTTTGATCCTTGGTCTGGGAACCAAGATCCTACATGCTGTGCAGCACGGCCAAAGGATTCAAAAGAAGAAGAAAAGAGATTTAGGAATCTCAGTGCTGTAAAATAGACATCATGGCATCCAGTCAAATGCTGTTGGAAATAGAACGTTCTCAAAGTTTTAATAATAAATTGAAACAGTGAAAATAATTAAATTCAAAGTTTGGTCTCCTCAGGTTCTTGAAGCCTCCCTCATGAATTACTTAGGCAGGATTTTAAAGACAGTGTCCCTGCCTGATGAAATGTAACACCACTTCATTTGAAAATGTTACTTCTTGAAGTCCATGCTTTTATCTGCAGAGCACTCTGGCACAGGGCTCTGTGGGAAGAAGGGAGGTTTTCCAGATGCCCTAGAACTTGGCCTTTGCAGTCAGACAGACTGGGCATCAAGTCCTGGGACTCTGCTTGTTATTTAGCTGGCCTTGGTCAGGTGGTCCCCTCGCTTGTCTCTGCACCACCGTTTCCTCGTTTGTGGGATGGTTGACACGTCCGTAATCAGCACTGAAGGAGACAGCGCATGGCGCCTGGTGTGTGCTCAGCAAGCCGCTGCTGCCACAAAGAGGTATAAAGAGCCCGGCTGTCTTCCACATGTGCAGCAGATCAAGTTATTCCCACTGATCATGTAACGTCTAGATTAGCTCATTGTCAAAACAAATACGTCACACTTTTATGGTTTAAGGGGGAAGACTGGCCCAGCGGGGCTTCCCTTGTGGCTCAGCTGGTAAAGAATCCGCCTGTAATGTGGGAGACCTGGGTTCAATCCCTGGATTGGGAAGGTCCCCTGGAGAAGGGAAAGGCTACCCGCTTCAGTATTCTGGCCTGGACATTGCCATGGGGTCGCAAAGAGTCGGACACGACTGAGCGACTTAGACATGTCCAGGAAGTGACGTTAGCAATTTTTCAATTAAAAAAAAAGCTTTTAAGATTTGGTTGTTTCCATCCTGCTTGTTGTAAGTGGAAAATGGATTTGACTCACCAGCACACCATAGGTGTCCACTTTCTTTAGCTTTGCAAAATTAAAAATCCAGACCCCTGCCTTTGCATCGTGACAAGTATATAATTATCCTAACTGTAGTAAAGAGTGTAGGACTTATGAATAATGCCATTTGTAGCCGCATAGATGGACCTAGAGATTATCATAGTTAAGTGCAATGAGTCAAAGAAAGACAAATATCATATGATATCACTTACATGTGGAATCTAAAAAAAAAAATGATACAATGAACTTATTTATGAACAGAATACAAATGAACTTATTTAAGAACAGAAACAGACTCATGGACATAGAAAAGAGATTTATGGTTACCAAAGGAGAATGGGAAGGGGTGAGGGGATGAATTAGGAGTTTGGGATTAACATACATATACAACTATATAAAATAAACAACAAGGACCTACTGTAGAGCACAGGGAACTGTACTCAATATCCTATACTAATCTATAATGGAAAAAATCTGAGGAAAGAACGTGTGTGTGTGTGACTGTGACTGAATCACTTTGCTGCCCACTTGAAACTTAATATTATAAATTAACTTCAATTAAAAAAAAAATCTGATAGCCAAAAAAGTGCAGAATTTGGAACGCACCCGAGTGACGTCCCAGCCCCTTCCCCTTCTCATCTGTAAAACCTTGGCTGGCTGGCTCCTCTGTGCCTCGGTTTCCCCATCTCCAAAATGAGGGCTCAGAGTTGGAGCCCCCTCGCAGAGCAGTGGTGAGGCTTGCTGCTGCTACGTGGCGAGCACAGAGAGCCAGGCTGAGGGCACGTAAGCATCAGCTTCTGTGCACTAGTATTACAGCTTGTCTTCCTTTCTGGTAGTTTATTCAGGTTTAGACAGAATTCATCTTATTATACTGCTGTTTTTCTTCCTTTTGTATGTGTGTGTTTAAGTGAACAGTAGCTTTTCGTATGTCTTATTTTTCTCACACATGTGTAGACACGAGGATTGAGAAAGCTACTTGTGTCTGTAGACCATCCCTTAATCAGCGCATTTAGTACACAGGACTGAAATGAGTTATTTTGAACTGCCACTAACTTTTTGACACCTTTTCCTTTCTAAAGGGATGTTCCCCCGTCTTACGTCCAAATGAAATTTTATAAGCTGAAAGCTACCTGCGTCCCCTTCTGGCAGAAGAAGACTTTCCCAGGTCAGTGTTGTCTGGATTTGGATAGTTAAAAACAACACATTGGGGCACGCGTTGGTCATGTGACCTTGGGCAGGTGACTTCTGGGGACCTCAGATTCTTCAAATGTGAAAACTGACAAATTATAACTCCTACCTAGGGCTTCTCTGGCAGCTCAGTGGTAAAGAACCTGCCTGCCAATGCAGGAGACATGGGTTCAATCCCTGGGTGGAGAAGATCCCCTGGAGAAGGAAAGGGCAACTGACTCCAGTATTCTTGCCTGGAGAATCACATGGACAGAGGAACCTAGCAGGCTACAGTCCATGGGGTCGCAAAGAGTCAGACACAACCAAGCAAATGAACACACACGCTTGCAACCCCTGCCTTTTTTTGAAGGTACTAAAAAAGCTAACAAACTTGTAAAATATGGTCACCAGGGTGCTGGGCACTTAGCAAGTGCTTGGTGTGTAACTGAGTGATTCTGGGTTGCACACACCGTACACTCACATACACACACTCACACCACATGCCTGCACACACACTGTTCACAGACAGCTGGATGTGCCCAGCTCTTTCTCTGCAGCCTTTTGTGAATGAGTTCCATGTGTAATTCTCAGACCTAGACTGTGAGAGTAAGTAGTGTACTGTAAAGTACACAAAAGCAAAACCATCTGTAGAGGATGCACGCATGTGACAAGGTGGACTGACTCACATAATTGGAGATGCAAACACATACTCACATTTTGAAAGTTCTCAGCTTGAAGGTTCATCTATAGGGGACTTACCCTGGGTTTCACCGCAGTTACAGTGCACCCTAATGTCTAGGCTGGGTCCAGAGGCTAGATTTTCCTCCAGCAAACTTACAGCAGAGTCGTCAGTACCTTGCCCAGCATCATGTTTGGGAGCTGCTGTCTTGAGCGATGCCCTGCTCTGTAGTGTGTGACAAATTGCTTCCTGCATTCAGCAGACCCCACTTCCTGAGTTCAATCTGGCTTTACCCTCCTGACTCCATGACTTTGGGCAAGTTACATGATGTCTTTATGCCTCATTGGAAAAATGGGTGAACAACAGTGCCTACCTCTCATAGGATTTTTTAGAGGGTTGAACGAGAGACTGTGAGTGAACCAGTTAGAGCTGGGTCTTGGCGCACAGTGAAGCCAGTAGCGATACGTTGTCATCATAAGCACCCTCTGTCCTTGACCTTGAAAAGAGGCATTGTCAGACCATCTCAAGTTTCAGTCTGTTTTCTTTAGAGATCATAGACTACCTTTATGAGACGAGTCTACCACTGCTTAAAGAGAAGTTGGAGAAGATGATGGAGAAAAGGGGGACTGAGATCCAGGCTCCAGCAGCCCCTAAGCCCGTCTTCCTGTTTCGAGACATCTTTTATTATGATGATGACGACAGTGAGGGAGAAGACAGAGATGAAAAAAGTTAAGCAGCTGATACTCTCTCTTGTCCATTTTTCTAGGTTTGGTTTTATTTATAGATGTCAATAAAGATATTTTCACTATTGATTTTACTAAAGAAGGGTCTGAAAATGATAACTTATATTCTGAAGCACTTAAACATTGGTTCACATTTCATATTCAAGTCTGTCTGAATGTGAAAAGAAAGGTGAGTGTGTGGGTTGATTTAGTATTTCAGTGCCATTATGTCAAGAAGACCCCCTGGAGAAGGGAATGGCAGCCCACTCCAGTATTCTTGCCTGGGAAACCCCATGGACAGAGGAGCCTGGCGGGCTACAGTCTGTGGGATCGCAGAGAGTTGTACACGACTGAGTGACTAGCACTTTGACTTTTGAATGCTTTTCACAAAACAGCGGGGTCCCAGATCCTTCTAATGGCAACAAGGTAGTCATGTCCAAAGAACATTTTCTCTTTTCTTTTTTGGCTGCACTGTGCTGGAGTCTTAGCTTCCTGACCAGGTACTTAACCCAGGTCCTAGGCAGTGAAAGCACAGAATCCCAGCCACTGGACCGCCACAGAATTCCTCCAGTGAACATTTTCATGGTGTGGATTCGACTGTATGTACCCTCGACAAAAAAAGAACGTTAACAACTTTATTAGTGCATGCCATTTTGCTTTCTGTTTTTCAGTTGACGTATGGTCTGTGTGTGTGTATTAGGTCAGCAATACAGGGAGGTTTGTGTTTTCACAGCCTGGTTTCAGTTCCCGTGTGCCCGTCACGGTGGGTGTATCTCATCTTCCTGTGTGCGATTCTCGTATCTGAAGATAGGTGTTGTCCATACAAGTGGCCCTTTCAAAGCCAGTCACAGAATTCATCTGCTGTTTAACTGGAAAAAACAAACCAGCCAGCAGTCTCTTCCACTGCTTCTGGAAAAAACTGCCTCCATTAGACTTCCTGACAGGTGCTGCCTGGGTCTCGGTCACAACCCATGCCTGATGGAATCTGAAAGGTAATCTTAACATTGGGCTAATCCATCGATCGGGAAAGCAAATGGCTCTAGATATTTCAAACAGAAGATTTAATATAGGGATTTAGGTTATGAAATTGTTCATAGGACAAAGGGGCAAACGGGAGAGGCTGAACTGCGCAGCGATAGGGAACCGAGGGGAAGTGGCTACAGCCCTGAGCGGCTCAGATGAACACGCCCTGGTGCTGACTTTGCAGACTCTGGGCTGTCTGCTGCTGCAGGAGCCTGTGCACCTGTGTCTGCTTAGAGCACAATGGCTTCCACCTCCCTCCTACTGCCTAGCCTCCCACGAGTGCCTCCCATGGGCAGCCCCTTAGCAGAACCCTGCTGGTGAGGGGAATCAAGTCCCCAGGCTTCTGGCCTCATCTGTACAGGGGAGAGCATAGAAAAGCAGGTGTGGGTGAACAACATCCCATGCCGTGATGTCCCCCTCCGTGCCGAGATGCAACGCCCCCTCTCCTGAGTATTCTGTGATATTTATGTAGCACCAGGATGTGTGATGTTGGTTAACTCATCCACAGAGCTAGACGTTCTCCCAAACTTGCCATCATGGGAGAAGGAAGAATACAGAGAACGAGTTTAGGAGTCCTAAGTTCAGTTCAGTTCACTTACAGTTGCTCAGTCGTGTCCGACTCTTTGTGACCCCATGAACCACAGCACACCAGGCCTCCCTGTCCATCACCAATTCCCGGAGTTTACCCAAACTCATGTCCATTGAGTCAGTGATGCCATCCAACCATCTCATCCTCTGTCGTCCCCTTCTCCTTCTTCCCTCAATCTTTCCCAACATCAGGGTCTTTTCAAATGAGTCAGCTCTTCACATCAGGCAGCCAAAGTATTGGAGTTTCAGCTTCAGCATCAGTCCTTCCAATGAACATCAAGGACTGATTTCCTTTAGGATGCACTTGTTGGATCTCCTTGTAGTCCAAGGGACTCTCAAGAGTCTTCTCCAACACCACAGTTCAAAAGCATCAATTCTTTGGCGCTCAGCTTTCTTTACAGTGTATCCCCAGACCTCTCACCATGTTGTACACGCAATAGACACTCAATAAATATTCAGGAAACAAGTGAGGATTTTCTTTTTAACAAGCATTCTGCCCTAGTCACCTCCTTCTGTCTGTCAAACATACCAGTCTTCATGCTGATGGGAATATGACTTCCCTTGTGGTTCAGCTGGTAAAGAATCAGCCTGCAATGTGGGAGACCTGAGTTCAATGCCTGGGTTGGGAAGATCCCCTGGAGAAGGGAAAGGCTATCCACTCCAGTATTCTGGCCTGGAGAATTCCATGGACTGTATAGTCCTTGGGGTTGCAAAGAGTCGGACACACTGGGCGACTAACTTCTGGAGGACAATGTGGTAGAATACACCAGAGCCTTAAGAATGTACATGTTCTGAGCCTCTAAACCGGTGCTCTGGGAGCAGTATGCCTTCTAGGAGACCAAGAAAAGCCAGATGGGATGTCCACTGTGCAGCAGACAATGTGAACTAATGTGGGGGACCAAGGCCAGTTCTGCTGTGTCGCCCAAAAACTGCAACACCAGGCACAGTGCCTGGCATGGAGTGCCACCCAAGACCACCTTTGCCCCCTAGGTAGTGGTGGGACTGGAATCTTATACAGCAAAGAAGGACAAGGTGGCACCTCTCTGATCCCTCCCTGCGGCAGGCCTCTGAAGCAACCCAGGAAGTCCCAGAGAGTCAGGCTGAGAAAGGATGAAGGAAGCAGAGTCAGGGTGGAGCAGCAACCAGAAGGTCGGGATCTGCTGTGTCTGCCTTTGAAGATGAAGAGGCCACCAGCCAAGGAATACAGGAGGCCTCTAGGAACCAGGAAAGGTGAGGAAGTGAATTCTTCCCCAGCATGCTAAGGGGGAACACAGCCTTTATGACACCTTGATTTTAGAGACCCACATCAGACTTCCGACCTGCAGAGCTGTAACATAATCATTTGCATCATTTAAAGCCACTAGGTATGCAGCAATCAGTGATGGCAGCAACAGGAAGCTCCTGCCCTGCCAGCTCTCTACTGGAAACCCCAGCGGATTCAGAGGTACAGGCTCCATATGCCAGGCTTCAAGACCACCAGTGCTCCGTGTGCTGACTCAGGCCCTGCAGGGCTGTGGGTAATGGGGAAGAGGTTCCAGCCAGCCACCGGGGAGGCCAGAGTTCTGTCCCTGGCCCCAGTGGGGAACAGACCTGCCAGCTGCTGCACGGGGAAAAGAGCACTTGTGCTTTGGAGTCTGCAGGGCCTGAATCCAAATCCTGAATTGGCCCTCTTCTAAGTGCATGACTGTGGACAAGACACTTACCCGTTGCTGCCTTAGTTTCCTTCTATGTAAAATGGGGACAGTGGTCCATACCTTAGAAGATTGTTAGATTAAATAAGTTCACGCAGGTAAAGTGCTTAGAACAGTGCCTGATACCTAATCAATGCTCCCAAAAAATGGGGAAAAAAAGAATGTACATATTCTGTGATCCAGCAATTGTACTTCTAGGACCTAAAGAGAAAATAGAATAAGTGTAAAAGAACGGCAGATTTACAATAGGAAACCTAGAAATGAGTGTTCCTTATAGGAAATTCACTGTATTGTGGTATATTCCTCGAATCAAATATTGTTCAGTCTCTAAGTCATGTCCAGCTTTCTGTGACCCCATGGACTGCAGCATGCCAAGCTTCCCTGACCTTCAGTACCTCCCAGAGTTTGCTCAAAACTCCTGTCCATTGATAATGGAATATCAGACACTAATTAAAAGTGATAGATTTGGTTAATGTAAAAGGTGAACAGTATTATCATCTAAAATATGGAATGAAGTACTTTCTATATTTCATTCAAAAAGATAGGTATATTTTCTTAATTTTGTTACCAGTAAAAGAAAGAAAATTGTGTAAATACAGAGGCATTGAAAGGTATAGGAGGAATGAAACTGGAATTGCTGACAGCGTTTCTCTCCAGGCCGTGGGATTGTTGAGTTTTGGGGCTAGAACTCTCGACCTGCAAGTGCCTGAAAATCAGGCTCAGGTAGACCAAAGGGATTTGGGAACTCTCAAGACTGAAAGTCCAGAGCGAGAGGATGGGTCCAGTTACTCAGCATCCTCAAAACATGTGTTCTTGCTGATTCTAGGCTCTCCCTTCTCCAGAGTCCACTTTGTCTTCAGTTCACACAAGGGGGCCCCCTTTTGCCCCAAGGATGCCTTCATGGAGCCCCTTGTAGCATTCTTATTATTTAAACAGAGGGTGCCATTCAGAGAAGAGAGCAAGAGCTGTTGCTCAAATCCTGGCTTTTGTTCCCAGCACCCAGATTAGAGCTTGTGCCCAACTCTGAGCTGTCACTGCAGCCCGGAAAACAGGATGGTCTTCAGCCCACCTGGGTCCTTTCTGGAGCTCAGCACGCCTATGTGACTGAAAGGGTAAATGCCCCAGCGGAAAACCAGGGTCGCAATATAGCAGAAGAGGTGAATGAATGGACTCAGAGAAAGCAACCCACAGATGCAGGCGTGTGGGTAATTACCTGTGCTGAGGATTTGACCCGAGAAACTTGGGCACTTTGTGAAAGTTTAGTTTTTTAATTTTTTCTCATCCTTAGTTCCATACCCCTCCACCCCCCCTCCCAAAATCTTACCTTTGCCAAACCCTTTTTACATACAAAGATTCAGAAAGCTGGAAGACAGAGATGGGATGGCTAGACTGTATTTGTCAAACACAGGTCTGAGAGGAGAGAAAAGGGAAAACCCTGAGTTTGGTTTGAATGTGTAGACTTTGTAGGATCGACAGGGACCATTTGAGAAGACCCCCGTCTACAGCATGGAGAGAAGAGAAGAAAAAGCCACACTAGAGAGACGGGTTGGTATGTTAACTCCCATCAGGGTGAAAGTTGGAGCCACGAAATGAACAAGCCCATTTAGAGCGAGAAAAAGGGCAGAAGAGGAAACTGGTACTACTCTGAGGAGTAGACTCCGAAATTGAACAGAGGTAAAGAGAAAAAAATTACCTAACACAAGACATTG